GCAACATCAATGAGAAACAACAAAAAACACAACATTGGTCAAATAATCACATTGATGCCAAATCTGGGTGGGGGGAAGAATATATATATATATTACAAGCCTTTTTAAAGTGTACAATGAAAACTTTACTGCCGTTTTCTGCAAAGTTTATGCAATGTTAGCACAGACTAAAAAAGACTGCACAACTCCAGCATTTATGCTCATTACCTAAAATACCTGTCAAAGCTGATAAAAGTACAGCGGGATCATCCTGCTGTCTTGCATCACATACTATAACAAAAATACACACGTAATATCACGTACCATAATCATCCAGTACAAAATCAAATTAACTCGCATAAACAGGATTAAATAATAATGGCACTTCAAGCAGTAACCGAATACCAGACTCAAAACCCAAAAGCCACATCCGCAAAATGCAAAAGCATGATACACTCGAAGAAGCTACATCAGTGCAGAATCAACATAACAAAGCTTTTGCCTCGTATCAGCCATGGAAGGAACTAAGGAAGGTGATGCAGTTAATGGATATCTTCAGGAACAGAATAGGAAGGAGAGGGCAGGAATGGAGTTGGAATAAGAATCAGGTGATAATGCCAGATTAGGTGGTGAATTAGGTCTGGGAATAGTGCAGCTAAATGTACATTATAATACAGTAGTAAGGTATTAGAAATAGATAAACGAGGCATTTATAAATAAAAATATCACAAGCATGAATAAAGATTCAATAACTGAGAGCGACCAGTTTAAGAATTACTCATTAATAGATGGAAAAATAGATTAAAAAATCAAACAATAACAGAACAAAAATGGAAAGAGGTCGAGTATAAGGAAGGAAGCATTCCACTGGGATTATAGGCACAAGAAGCATTCCACTGGGGTTAGGGGTCCAAAAAAGAAAGCTCTACTGGAATTAAAGGTATATGAAGGAAAGTTCTATGCTAGTTTGTGTAGAGAAAGTAATAAAGTAAGGATTTGAGATTTTCAGGTATCTCTCCCTCTCTCTCTGTAGGCTCCCAGATCACTAATATTTACATGATTATTCTTTATATAATTACAAAATATGCTTGTGCATTAAGCTTAAATACAAATTATGTTTTGTCTAAAAACCGCATATTAACAAATTAAAAGTTTGGGTGAGAAATGCATGTGTTAGTAAGTGACCCCCCCCAAAAAAAATGGATTGGGTAAATGGAATAATCTCCAATATGCATCACATCAAAATCTAGACTTATTGCAACTTTGAATGTCATGGCAGAGTAGACAGATCTGGCCCTGGATGACAAGGTTTATTACTATTATTGTATTATTCTTTAGGCAACTGTACAAATGGAACTAAATAACTATTTATATCTGAATTAGGTGCTTCTGATTTGGAACCACCATGTACCTAGTTACAATCAAACGGTAAACAACTAGGATGCATCCCAATTAGCCAGGGAGAGAATGAGGTTTTGTCATTGTCGACACATTTCTTAGGTTCAGCTTCATAGTTCACAAACCGAGATAAATGGGGCATCATCATCATAGGCCAAAAACTGGACCAATGTGAAGGGGAATTTAATTTACTACTGTCTGAAGGAGCCTCAGACTCTGAGCACAGCTTCGTTCGTTTATCAGAGTTTATGTCCTCTAAGAAAAGGGTGCTTGCCTTTTTAAGTGATCTTTTTCTATGAGACATGGCTCTTTTTCTCTTTACCGGAAGACTTCTTGGTCGAACTTTCATTGGTTGAGAAGCTCTCTTCTGGAGTCTCGGTTGTCCCATATTAACAAGTGACAAAGAATGATGGTCTAAGCGAGATTGGCCAAAACTTGTAGCACAAGTCTCATAAACATGACTACCCTGCTCTTCCATTTCACTGTCAGAAAGATGAAATATTGTTTCATTCTCTGTGGCTGTGTCTGTGTTTGAGGAACACACAGAGGCTAAGTCCATATCAACTGACTCAATGTCAGTTTCATCTTCATAATTTCTTGATTTAAAGTGTTTCCAAAACATCCCACAGAGAGAGCACAGCTGTCCATCACACTCATGGTCAAAATGGTCTTCCCATTCACATTTATCTTTGGGAGGGGTGGTGAGTGTCATATAAGTGCACTGTTCTTGTGCTTCCAATACGACTCCATCGTAAGCCACTTTTCTACAAGATACTTTGTTACCAATACCAAAATCATCTTCCTTCACTTCGCTGAGTAGATCCTTATAAATTTCCAACAATGATGGTGCCTTAAATTTAGTTTCTTGGACATCCTTGGATTCTTTAGATAATCCTAAACCTAGCAATGTATTACTTTCTTTAACATTTGATTCCATAATTTTAATTTTCTTACTTGGCAAATCTTTTGTTTCAATTCTTGTATTATTAAAAGTATGAAAAGACTGTTGTAAAGCATCAGAACTATCTTGATTATAAACCAATGCTGCCTTAATTTTGGGATTTTTTTCCATATATGTTTCTTCTAAAGGAATTACATTTTTATCCTCTTTATTAGCTTCATCATAAGGCTCAATTATGTCACCTTCAATATCTTCAATTGCATTCATTGGAAAATCAAAGGACATACCACCAGAACAGCTCGGATCAAGAGGTCGGTGATACTCTGAGGTAGGAGACAAATCAATTGTTTTGCTCTGTGGAGGAGTTAAATGAACTAAATGATCCAAGCTAATAGCTTTACTTTGAGTTGGTGTTACACAGAGCAAATGATGATCTGAATCTTTGGTTTTACTACACAATGGAGTTTTATGCACTAACTGATCTTTCCGACATAAAACTTTGCTGCGTGGTGGGGTTAAATACATTAAATGATCCGAGTCTACTCTCTTACAATGTGGTGGAGTTGAGTGAACTAAATGATCTGGGTTTACTGTTTTCCTACGAAGTGAGGTTAGGCATAATTTGAGCTCATCTGGGTCAACTTTCTTATTGTGTGACGATCTTAAAGAACTTAAATTGACTTCCAAGTCTACTTTCTTGCTGTTGCTTGTTGGTATTAAACAAACAAAATTATCAAGCGATGTGATGTGTAGTGGTGACGAACGGGCCAAGGGATCTGAACACGTCATTTTGTTGCGCGACACAGAAATACGAATCAAGTTATCTTCCGGACCCGAGCTTGCCTCTTTATAAACTTTGTCATCTACAATTGATACACAAGCCCCTAGTTCTGGATCAGAGGATGCTGTGATAACTGATCCTCTAAAACAGGGCTGAATGCACGACTCAGCTAGAGCAAGCATATCTGGGTCTATATTTTCAAATTTTGACTGCACCTTATTCACTTTCTGTAAAATGCCTCTTGTTTTCAGAGTACCACACTGTCTGACAACCAACTTTTTTCCGGTTAATGTTGAGAACTCTGTGTGTAATGAGGGGAAGGTAGTATTACAGGACGACTCACAGTCCAGAGATGAAAGGAGGAGAGTAGATGGTGAGGAGGGGGATGAAGGATCTGACAGAGATACTGGACTAAGAGTGCCATAGTCACTTGAAGGGGAGGGTTGAGGAGGATCCGTAAGTTCCGTCTGTGGCTCTAATGGTTTAGGAACTAGTTCACCTGGATGTAGCTTCTTAAAGTGCTTGCTCAAGTTTATAACAGATGAATAATATTTGTCACAGAGGCAACAGTAATGTTTAGTAGGCACTTTGTTTTTAGCATGGTCTTTCAAATGTTTGTCAAATGTTTTAATTTCAACAAGCTCATTGCACAAGGAACAATGATAAGCAATTAGTGGTCTGGGCCCTCGAGAGGGAGGTGGAGCAGGAAAGAATGTGGGGAAGCTATGTACCACCCTATCTGGCTTGGGAGTTTCTTCCAGGTACAAGGTAAATGGCAGGTAGGCAGGGACTGGAGGAACAATTGGGGTGGGAGAGATTGGACGGAGGGAAACAGCAGGAGGGAGGGACAGATGGAGCGTGGCTACTTCATCCAGCCCACAAGCCACACTCTCAAGATCCCTGAGCCACTTGCATTCCCGGCAGAAATCGAGATGATTAGGCTCAATCTGCTGCACTCTCTTCCTTCCATGGCTGTATATACTGCGGCTCCAACACTTACAACCATGCCTGAGGGGTACCACTATTAGCTATCGCATGCACAAGCTAACAGAAAAGCTTGACGAGACATAATAGTCAAAGGGTGGGCTGCATATGAAAAAGTAGTCATTATTTAATGAAGAACTCAATGGTAAAATATGCATTAGTAGCAAAGCAATGGAAAACAGATTAGTGTATAGAATTTCAAGACTGGGCATTCTCAGAAATCCAAGTATACAAGCATAATTATCATCTCTGGACAAGCAAATGGTAATGAAGATATTTGTAGCCAAAGATATTAACAAAAATCCCCATTTTAGTCATATGTATACTGCACAACCTATAAAATCCAAACCATTTTACAACAAGCACTTCTACATGAAAAAACATTTTGCTATCAGATTACCCATGCAAAATCAGATTTAGATATTTATTCAGCAACATCTGGAGTGACATCTGAAGAATTACCATATAATTATTTAAAGCAAGTTGTATTTTTCCCTATCTTTGTTATTCTTTTGCTTTTTAGTAAAAATATATTACACAGTGAACGGCCAGATGTCATATTTATCTAAAATATCCTCAACCTTTTAAGCCATTATTTTTCCTAATGATAATGCTTACGATGATGGCTATAAAAATATTCATTACAATTTACTGGTACAGCATCGGTGGAAAAAACACAATGGCAGGCAATTTGGAGGAGTGTTTCATGCAATGCATTCATTTGTCACTGATGGGGTTGCATAAAGTTGTGTGAAGCTCAATATAAAGAGATAGTCCCAGAGTCAAAGATAAATATAGCATAAATGGTGGTTATCAACTATTAAATAGTTCAAAGTTACATATTAATCCTTACTTTATAGCAAAAGAAAAAAAAAAAGCAAGAATTCAATTTCAAGTGTCTTCCAATTACCCACAAATGCCATGCTTCAGAAGACTCAAAAGATGTACAGTACTCACTTTTTGTTGCAAAGCACATCATTTATGGAGGGCTGGGCAGCAGCAGAGGAACGCGTTGGGTCTTCTGGATGTGGGCCTATGTCCTTGCCAGCCAGCCAGAGTTCGTACCGCTCTGGCTGAAACCTCTTCACAAATGTATCCATTGAGATCTTTACCATGTCCCCACTGGAAATCATTTATTCAGTATAAGCTAATTGGTAAGTGGCAAATATTTATTAGTTACATTGGTGCACGGTGCCCGACAGCTGAGTGGAGAGCGCTTGGGATTCATAGTCCTAAGGTTCCAGGTTCATTTCCCGGTGGAGGCAGAAACAAATGGGCAGTTTCTTTCACCCTGATGTGCCTGTTCACCTAGCAGTAAATAGGTACCTGCAAGTTAGACGACTGCTACGGGCCGCTTCCTGGGGTGTGTAACAAATAGGAGGTCTGGTCAAGGACCAGACCACGGGGACGCTAAGCACTGAAATCATCTCAAGAAGATCTCAAGATTCCTGCTCGATACCTGTTTGATGGGGTTCTGGAAGTTCTTCAACTACCATATGAAGCCCGGCCCAAGGCCAGGCTTGACTTGTGAGAGTTTGGTCCACCAGGCTGTTGCTTGGAGCAGCCCACAGGCCCACATACCCACCACAGCCCGGTTCGTCCGGCAATCCTCGAAGAAAACTATCTAATTTTTTCCTCAAGATGTGCACGATTGTTCCGGTGATGTATATCAATATTGGTAGCTGTTATCAAGGCTTTTCCCTAAGAGAATCATATATAACAAGAAATTTGGCTAAATCTAAGGTAACTAAAGATTCATTATAAGTGATACATAGTTATGAATATTTATAGTATTAGTTTAATTGTAAATGATTAGTGTTTAGTACTTATGGTATCAAGTTTTTATTTTTTTTCAAAATTATCTTTCATTATTTTCATTCTGAAGCTTTATTACCAAGTCCCAGTGCTGTATGAACATGTATATAATGTATCCCTCAATCCATAAAAATACAAAAATGAAGCCTGTAAATGTACAGTATCTCAAGAACTACTCAGCCATCTTCCTCTCCAAAGTTTACCTTACATAAACAAATCTTAGAAACATCCCTGTGCTTAATATCTAGACTTAGCACATCAACACAATAATTTGTTTGTAAACAAAAGGCATCATTGAATTTATGAGCTTAAGTTAGTGTAATAACAGCATATCTGACTGGATTAGTTAGCCACTGAAGATATTTTAATATTTAACAGCCTCAACTTCACTTAATGGACAACAACAAAAACATCTTTAACAAAATATACAGAATTAAAAAAATGTATATAAAATACAAATAAATACATTAATAGGATGCCCATAGTGACCAAAACTAACTTTTAGAGTGTACAAGATCCCTGCCACTATTATAAGCAATACTAGTACAGTACTGTAACAGTAGACTAACATAATTTGCACTTAAAAAAAAAAAAACACCTACCGGCACTGACACTGGGTGGCCCGCTTGCCATATTCAACCCAACGAGGCATGGCAAAGTTAGTTGACTCGGCACAGTTGAAGCCATGATTAAATCCTGCATGGTAGCCATAGGGGAAAGTTATCATGATGTCTCCTGCCTCCTGTGTGATCTTTAAGACAAAGCAAAACATTAAAATAATTTCAATAAAGTAATGATGAATTATGCAAGAAACCAACTTGCAAATAATATGCTGTATATTGTAATGTAATTTTGTTATAAATTAAATAAAATTACAACAGATTTTGTAAAACCTTAATGGTGCTAACTAATAAGCACCAATGAGAAAAAAAAGTTTAACATCCTCAATGTTAATCTTTTCTAAGGAAATGAAAATAATAATCATTTGCAGAGACCCATCTATAAATGTGTGAACATTTTTAAAATTAAAGCAATTCAACTATTTATATTGGTTTGATTTTAAAACTAAGGACAGTAAACATTTCTTTCCTATTGCACAAACCTTGTCAAATGGGATGGAATACTGTTTGAGAATCTGTGGTGACATAAGAGACATCTTGTGGCGGAGGTATGCCGGACATGCCTTGAAGGAGTTTGGAAAGAATCCATTGGCCAACCGTTCCAGTCTACGTCCATGTTCTGGTGGTATGGAATACCATGTCTTCGGATCTCCGAAGTGAAGATAATTAATACTGAAATACAGGAATGTTTATACAGTACATTATAAAATTAAACTGAAAATAGGGAATTTATCATAATCACTACCCCCCTCACCCCATTTACAATTTTCGTGGGGAGGTAGACATCAGCAGAGAAAAAATTGGAGGAAAACAGAAAAGAAAGTTATATTATTTATCAATATCTTCCACACAACATACTGCATCATTACACAGTATTGGCACTGTCACACTCAAGCAAAACATCCATAAAAGGACCTCACTGATTGATACAACGAAGTGTGAGGTGCTTCCTAGGATTAATTTAAGCATGTCAAACATTCAAACAAATTCCCTATCCCTTCTCAGACACTGCTTACACTTAATCCCTGCCTCCTCACAGACTCACTCACCATACCTGAACAACTTCCCTCTCCTACTTTTAAATGAAATCAATTCCACTCTTAAACACTCAATATCATCGTCTATTCATTTAATACAACCAAACCATCTAAACATTCTCTCGTCATTCTATTACATACTAACTTTTGTACTCCACATGACATTTTCATTCCTTAATCTATCTAGCTTCAAAATACCATCAATGCATTTTAGATTGCTCACTACAGCTTTAGATCAATTTATCATGTTCATGCCACACCAGCATCTGAAAATTATATGCAAGTTACAAAATTCACATTGGACCATGTTGCCAATCACAGATTTAATAATCCATACAAATCCATAAACAAAAATATCAAAGCAGAAAAAAAAAATGTTTTTAACAAAAATGGATTCCATTCCAAAATCACATTTGATACAGCAATTGTGACGGTTGCCTGTATGAGAACATTTGCAATGTGTATATGAAGGAACTAGTGATAATGTGTCCATAAAAAGATTATAATCAGGACCCGTCATTGTATTGATAACACATTCAATACAATACATAAAAGTTATTGGGGGTTGAAAAATTATTTTAACCCGAGCAAGACGTAGAAAACATTCTAAGATCTACATACAAACCAACCGTAATGCGTAAGCAAACTAAGCACATGCTTATTTTACGAATTATAATTAAGAATGGGCTTGCCTAGGGCCTACTAAACGGTTGATTTGACACTATACAGGAAACATACCTGTACAAATCCATGTCTTCTGTATGCCAGGCAAATGTGGTTTTCCACATGCCAAAGTAGAGGTAGGCAGTGTTAACTCCATCAATGCTAATACCATAGTCTTCATTAACATAATCCAAAATAGAACCCAAGCTGTTAATATTCCATTCCTGAAAAAAAAATATACATTAAAAAATAAAAAAATAAGAGGTGCAATAAGCAATATTAATACAGTAATCCAAAATGTAAGTAGATGTACACAAAAATGTATTTAACACGCTATTTACAATGTTCAATAAGTGTTTAGAACATGGAAACCTGTAACTAGAGCTTTTAAGTAGAAGAGGGAAGGGGAGGAAATTATCAGGGGAAAGTGCCAAGCCATTTACAACTATATAGCACTTGGAAGGTATTTGGATTTGGGGTCAGAAAAACTTAATTGGAGTCAGAATAAGGATTTGGGATGGGATACAAGAAAAGGAATAGTGCCCAACCACTTGGACGATCGGGGATTGAACGCCAATTTGCATGAAGCGAGATCGTCGCTCTACCGTCCAGCCTATTGGGCATTTTTTTTAGTAAAAGCATATTTACTTTTTAAATTCAAGAGAAAACACAATAATCACAATCAATGTGCATGGTTTTAATGATCCAAAAACATACAGCAGTTTCTTATTCAGAGTGCCATGGATACATTTGTGTTGACATGAAACATCAATTTACCTTAACGTCTGGATCTGTAATGCTGCCCGAAACATCAGCTCCATATATAGGGGAAACATAGGTGATATTTTTCCAGTACTTTCGTTCCAAATCTTCGTACGATGAGTGTTTGGGTGTTCGATACCTGGAAAATATTTAATTTATCCTCTAGAATCTAGATGAAGTCATATTGTAATGTGTGTGTACAAATCAAGCATTAAATGTAACGAAATGCCCTTTTCTGGGCAGCCTCAGACATTGAGTAAACTACCACTTTCCTTGTTTGCATCATTTCTCTCTCTAATCAAAATATATAGTTTGTTTACCTCCACTTGTACTTTCCATGAGGTTTTACTCTTATCTCGGGTAAATCTCAGATCCCCATGTTCCCCTCGCCTCTCAACACCAGGTTCTGGCCCTGGTGTTTGATAAGCCTGTGAAAGTCTAAAGGCTTTGTAGTTTTGAGAATGTATCTGTGGTTCCTAACCCCCATGCCCAGGGAAGATACCGAGGACCAGCCGAAAAAAAACGGCGTTGAATGTAATGAAACGCCATTTTCTGGGCGAGTCCCGGAGGCTCCCCGGAGCTATCCCTGGCTGATATGCTAATGTCAGACTTTGGCATCAGTCATGTGTATGGAGTTCTTAGGCCTACCGGGGACCACGGCCAGAACCGGGCCCCCCTCAGAGAGGCAAGGGGAGCAATGGCCTATAGAAGCCCCCGTGTAGTTGGAAGCATTCTATGTCTACCATCGACCGGAACAGGCACCCAGAAAGGTAAGCACCCCAAAACAAACCCTTATTCTGGTGAAAATTGCTACCAAAAACCGAACTAGTGGATAGAACTCTCCAACCGAAAACAAGCAAACTAGTGTGACGTCACACACTGCCGCGCCGCTGTCTGTGCAGCTCCCCTCTCCCCGGGAGGGGGAAGGGGGAGCCCCAGACCCCCCGCGCCGGCTACCCACACCTCAGTTCTTGAGGCTGGATGTCAAAAACGCGAAAAAACGCCGACCGGAGGGAGGGAGGGATGCCGGGGAGCCTCCGGGACTCGCCCAGAAAATGGCGTTTCATTACATTCAACGCTGGTTTTCTGGGGGGAGCCCCGTCGGCTCCCCGGAGCTAACTACCCACAGACAGAAAAAGAGGGACTTACCCGGGAGGCGGTCGTCGCTCACCCCTCAACTCGAAGCCGAGACAACTGGCTGCAACCGCCGACCCAAAGCAACACAGGCCCGACGAGGCCCAGGGACATTCACAAGGTAACGAGCAGCCAGGACCCTGTTCGACCGCCAAAATCCCCGCGCCTGAATTTCAGACCAAGACATATTCCCAAAGACGGCAGCAAGAGCCGCGAACTTACGAACGTCATGGGCACGGGGATAGACCGCAGGCTGGCTGGACCTAATAACCCTGCGGACGACCTGAGAGACCCGAACCCGCGAACAGGGAAGAAGGGAAACCTTATCAACCCACAGCGCGTCCCCGGACACAAGCTGTGGCGCGTAAATAACGGCGAAGCGCCGCAACCGTTCACAAAACATGATGCACCCCCGGCCTGACCAACCAAGCATCAACCACCCATGGACCCCTCCGGAACGCAGCAGTCTCATTCTTCGCCAGAAAAGAAGGAGACTGCTGCAAACGAACAAAATCACCACGACCAAAAGAGCAGAAACCCCTGCGCCGGAGGAGAGCATGAAGCTCCCCTACCCGACCCCCAGAGGCCAAAGCCAACAAGAAAAGTGCCTTGGAAAAACAATCCTGGACCGAAGGGGCCACAACGAAACGAGGAGATGAAAGGAAAGCAAGCACTCTGTCCAAAGACCAGGACGGCTCAGGTGACGCATGAGCAGGCCGGAGGTGAAACAATGCACGAGACAGCTTGCGAAACGGCGCAGACGTAACATCGATACCGAAAGCAAGCTGAAGCGGCTCCGCCAGTGCCGCACGATACGAAGCGACAGTGTTAGGCATAAGATGACTGTCCTGAAACAACCACGAGAGGAAGGACAAGACCACCCGAACAGACAAGGAGCTAACACGACGAAGACGCAAAAAGAAACGGAAGGACCGCCAGGAAACTTCATACTGCCGCCGAGAAGAAGCCCTCAGGTGGGACACCAACAAGGAGGCCACCTGATCACCATAGAGATGATGATAGACTCGAGTCAAAAAAACCATACGCGAAGACTCGAGGAGAAGATCGAACCAGCTACGTGACGTACCGGCTCGATCTGCTGAAAGAGGCGGAGCCGCGGGAAAACCCTCGGGTTCGGACACCGAGCAACCAGCGCCTGAAACCAAGGCTGGGCCAGCCACCAAGGGGCCAGAAGGACAACTCTCCCCCGGTAAGTCTCTAAGCGAGTCAGGACCTGGAGCAACAGCCGAACCGGGGAAAAGAGGTACAGGAACCCCCACCTCGACCAGTCTAGCCGAAAGGCATCGACCCTGACGGCCTCGCAATCGGGGAAGGGCGCCCGAACGTCTGGCAAAGCCAACGGAAGGACTCGTCGTCGACCGTCCACTCCGTGGAGAGGGGAACGAAGCGAGACAGGGCGTCGGCCAAGACGTTGTACACGCCCCGTACGTGAACCGCCAGGAGAGCCAAACCCCGAGAACTCAGCAGACGAGTCACCCGAAGCGACCAACCCCAAAGAGACAAGGACCGCATCGAACCCCCGCGGTTCAGGCAATGAACCACCGGAGAGCAGTCCGAATGGAGCCGAATCGTCGATCCGTGGGCCACCCGAATCCTCCCCAGAGCAAACCACACTGCCGCGAACTCCCGCACCGTGCTGTGAGCTCGACGGAAGGACGGATCTCAACGCCCCTGGCCAGCCTGGTGAGCACTGGTCACAAAACCCCAGCCGAGACGATGCATCCGTGTACACATCGAGCGAGGGCTCGGGTAGGCGCCAAGGCACTGAACCCCGAAAAACCCGAAGAGGAAGCCGGTGACGCAGCAACCGACGCAAGGCCCCCGGGGGTCGAACTCTGCGATCGCGAGAGAGGCGGAAGGGGGAACCCCAAAGGAACCAGAACAGCCGTCGAAGCCAAACCCGACCCAGCGGGTAGACCACCATCGCGAAGTTCAGGCTCCCGCACAGCCCCTCGAGCAACCGCCGGGTGACCCGAAGGCCCTCCAGAAACAGACGAAGGCGGGACCGCAGCCGCAGGAGAGACTCCGGAGGGAGAGACAAGGAGGCGGTTCGAGAGTCCCACACGAGACCCAGCCAAGTCTGAACCTGAGAGGGAACCAGATGGGACTTCCTCCAGTTCACCAAGAACCCAAACTCGGCGAGCTGGGAAAGAACCAAATCCCTGGCTAGCAAGCAAGCTGACTGGCTGGGAGCCCAAACCAGCCAGTCGTCGAGGTAGGCCAACACCCGAACACCTAGGAGACGCAAACGAGCCACGACAACCCGTGTAAGGCGCATGAACACGCGAGGTGCCAGGTTCAACCCGAACGGGAGACAACAAAAGCGGTAACTCAGACGCCCCACAACAAAACCGAGCCAGTCCCTGAACTGCGGATGAATCGGGACATGCCAATAAGCGTCCCGGAGGTCCAGGGACACCATCCAAGCTCCCGGCTCCAAGAGGAGCCGAACCTGAGACAGCGTAGTCATCCGAAAGGAGGGGCAATGAACCCAGGGGTTCAGACGGGACAAGTCCAGAATGAACCGCAGGTCCGCGCAGTCCCGTTTCGGAACCGGAAACAGACGGGAAACCCATCTGAGGGACGTCGTCGTTTCGACGACGCCCAAGCGTACCCACTCCAAGATGACTCGACAGAGCGCAGGGGAAGAAACCTGCCCTGCCAGCCCCGACCCCCCAAAGGGGGGAGGGGCCATCCAACGCCACCGCAGGCCGCGAGACACGACCCGAAACGCCCACGAATCATGGGACCAGGCGCGGGCGAACAGCGCAAGCCGCCCCCCCAATCGCCCCGTCAAGGGGGCAAACCGCGAAAGGGCCGGCGACCCTTACGAGACCCAGAACCCCGCACAGCACGAACACCGCGCCGACCAGACGAGGGAGGGTCCGCAGGAGGAGCCAACCCCAAACCTGACACCAGAGGCCTACCACGACGAGAGGAACCCCGAGCCCTGGCACGACCTTTCCGGGAAGACCCACCCCGGGACCCCCGGAAAACCAACAAGTCCGACATCGGACGACAAGCCGCCGACGCAGCCTGAATAAACTGCGCCACGGCCGACTCCCGAAACAGGAGAGGACAAAAAGGGGAAGAACGCCTAAGAGCCAGAGCCCAAGCAGATTCCACGGAGGAACCCAGCACCGCCTGCCGACACGCGAGACGGGAAGCATAGAACAGGGAAACCGCATCCCGCAAAATCGGCGTGAACAGCTTCAATAAGGCAGCCGACGGCACAGCCGACGGCGCAGCCGACGGCGCAGCCGAGGACAAGGTGCCGGACCCCGGGACGGACCCAAGCGTCCCCACATCCTCCATGAGCCAATCCGAAGACAGCTCCAGGAGGGAAAAGACCCGCAAGGCCGAACACAAAAGGCCCCGGGCGCGCAAGTCCTCCGCAACGAGCGCCGCCGAAAGGGAGGGAACCTGCACATGGAGCTGAATAACGCCCACATCGCGGGGAAGGGCAGGGGCAAACAAGCACTCATTCAGGTACTCAAGTTCACCCCCCAGGAAAACCTGAAGCACCGTGGAAGCTTCCCGCCACTCCAGCGTGCGGGAACGACAGAAGGAATGCCAGGAATCCAGACTAAACAAGGGGCAGTCTGCTAGCCAGGACGACTCCGGAACCTCGTAACGGAGCCAGAAAGGGAACGAAGTCCCAAACCTGAACGTGGACGGATCCATTTCCGAGGCATAATCCGGGTCACGCAGGAGGTAAGCTGCAAAGGCCGCTCGCACCACACCAGGTTGGATGCGATAAGCCGAAAACCTCCGGAAGGACGGAACCGACGTACCCGGGGGAACACGGAACCGAACCCGGGGAGGGGCCGACACCAAATCCAACTCATACGCAGAGGGGGGGAAAAGAAAACCCCACTCCTTGTAACAATAAGCCCCGCTCAGTGGGAAGAAAAACCCAGGCGGGGTCCAGCGGGGCCCAAGGCTCCCAAGTCAGCCCCTCCCCAGCCTTGAGGTCCGTCACCACAGGACCCGAGGCCGAGTCCTCTTCCCAAGCCCCGACCCCACAAGACAAGGACGGAGCAGCCGGAAAAGCTGGAGGAAGGGGGGCCCACTGGTCAGACCCTGAAGCTTCGGCCGGGAGACAAGACTCGAATGCCTCTGCCGCCCCCCCGGAAGGGGCAACCCCCGAAGCTGCCCGAGTCTCGAGATCAAGTAACCCCTGCTCCGACCCCGAAACCCTCAGACGCTTCGGGGCCGGAAGCAGGGGCGGGGGACCAGAACGAACAGAAGGGGAAGGACGAGGAGGTGCGAACTGAACCAGGATCGAAGCGACCCCCACCCCCAAGTCCGGGTCTCGAAAAGCAAAGCGGGGCAGCCCCGGGGCATCCGGGGAAGCAACCAACCAAGCGCGTTGCAACAGACGAAACCTAGACTGTAACGCACGTGCCGCCTGTACCCGAATAGAATCAACAGAGGATTGGGTAAATTGAGTCACAAGCAAGCAGCAACACTCACAGGACTCAGGGTCGAAAGTATCACCGACCCAACAGGCAGCGTGGCAGAGGCAAAAACAATGAGGGTCACCCTGAGACAAGGGGACCGAGCAACCCTCAAACTCGCACACAGCGAGTGGGGACTCCGGGGTCACATCCATCGGACCCACGCGCCCCCTAGGAGATTCCCAGGGTCCTGAGCGTTTACTTTAAGAGGACTCGCGCTCAGGTAGTCCCAGGCAGGGTGCTGCAAACCCGCGCCCAAAACTACCAAGCAAACTTCTAAAGCTGAACCCCAGGGACGTGTACACTCACGGGGGCCTAGCAGGGGGCGCCACCGAGAACAGTGGAAGGGCAAAAACAAACTGAATAAAATGACAGAACCCCCCCACCAGGCAAAAACAAAAAGAAAAACAAAACCCCGCAAGAGGACAGCGAACCCCAAGGAACAGAGCCGGCCACGATGTCGGGAAATACAAGCCGAGCAGCACCCTGCGCCCCTACCAGTGCAAACTGCCTCTTACCTGCCGGTAACAAGGGAGAACAGAACACCCAAGAGCCCAACAGGCGGCCGAAAAACCGAAAGGTAAAACGGACCAGCAGAGGCAGACCCCGAGGAGCCTGTGGAAGGTGGCCCCAAGCCCCAAGGGCAGTACTTACAGGGCACCTAGGGAAGGCAGCCCTAGGCGCATGCAGCCCGAGTACTGAAGATAACTCCTGGCTCTCGCACCCACAAAACTAACACCACACGCAAAGCACAGTGCAGTAGCGACACCGGAGCCAGAGCACACGACCATCGCCTATAGCATCAGCCTCAAGAACCGAGGTGTGGGTAGCCGGCGCGGGGGGTCTGGGGCTCCCCCTTCCCCCCTCCCGGGGAGAGGGGAGCTGCGCAGACAGCGGCGCGGCAGTGTGTGACGTCACACTAGTTTGCTTGTTTTCGGTTGGAGAGTTCTATCCACTAGTTCGGTTTTTGGTAGCAATTTTCACCAGAATAGGGGTTTGTTTTGGAGCGCTTACCTTTCTGGGTGCCTGTTCCGGTCGATGGTAGACATAGAATGCTTCCAACTACACGGGGGCTTCTATAGGCCATTGCTCCCCTTGCCTCTCTGAGGGGGCCCGGTTCTGGCCGTGGTCCCCGGTAGGCCTAAGAACTCCATACACATGACTGATGCCAAAGTCTGACATTAGCATATCAGCCTGGGATAGCTCCGGGGAGCCGACGGGGCTCCCCCCAGAAAAGAGCTATTTGAACATTTTCAGTGTTTTAAATCTTACTATGGTGTACCATTCAGATAACTTCCAAACACACAAGGGCGGCATCTATTGAACAAAGATTAAAAAAAAAAACTCCACCCAGCTACACCTCTAAGAATCACAAAAGACACTTTTTTCCACTTTTTCTTACTTTTTACATGGACATTATCATTCAAAACAAATTACAGAATATATATTTACAGGACTTTTAATTTTTGTTTTGCACCGAGACACTGAAATGTTGATAATAGCTACAATCTGAGGATTATTTAACTGATGACAAAATTACAATAAAATGACAATAAAAAAAATTTAACATTTGTTTCCAATAATGTCATAACTTTGAAGTCAATAATTCTAGTCAATAATTTTTGTTAAATAATCAAATCATCTAGGGAAAAAAATGGCGCAACTAAGTTTCTCATAACACTTACCTATCGCTATTTGCCAATTTATTAAACTCCTTAACAGTCATAGGTTTCTTTTGAATATTTATCTGCTGGTACAGCCCCTGTTTCCCAGTCACCACTTGACAAATGGGGGCCGGTATTGTAAGGTCCAAGGAGTCCAAGTCATAGCCGCTCTTGCGGGGGCACCACTCGGGCGGCGGGATGATCTGTCAGGAATATCAAATTCTCTTTCATTTTTCTTTATTTAATGATGCTTAGTTACTTAATTTTTTTTTAATTTAATACCAAAGAGCTTTCAAAAATTTGTTCTACAAAATCTTTGCTTCTTGCTGAAAGAAGTAAGTAATTATCAAAGAAGGCACCAAGCCGGGAAGGCTATGTAATTTGCTGAAAGAAAATTATTATTATACAGCAGTAGCCTACATGACCAAAAACTGAAATGAACGCATTCTCAATCAGAATAAACCCAACCACTTGGGCTGGACGGTAGAGCGACGGTCTCGCATCGTGCAGGTTGGCGTTCAATCCTCGACCGTCCAAGTGGTTGGGCACCATTCCTTTCCCCCGTCCCACCCCAAATCCTTATCCTGACCCCTTACCAGTGCTATATAGTCGTAATGGCTTGGCAATCCCCCCCCCCCCCCTCACTCAGAATAAATACAATCTGTTATACTGCAATATAGTGAAGACCTAGTGGTTATTTCCTTTCATCACAGTATTTACATGATCACCATCCACAGATTTAATTGGGCTCGACAGGTTTCAATGCAGTATTAGTTTCATTTTATCTTCAAAGTCCTGATAACTATCAGGGTAAAAAAATTAATTAAGCTTTAGTAAATTAATTGTCATAAAAAATTAATTCATTGCTAATGAAAAAACATTAACAAGCTTATTTGCAATGGAATTTGCTGAAAACAAAAAATATATAGACTACATATGAAAAATAAAATTCTTAAATAAAAACTTGGGGTAAGCCCATCGAGAATTGTATTTTCCTAAACTATTATATGGCAAAATACCACCACTTGAGGAATCTTACTTCCTTAAGAGGTGTTCCGTCCGCAAATAGGGATAGGCTATACAGGTATATCTATATATACAGTAGAATAAAATAACAAAATTGGCAGTCATCTGTCGATGCTGCACAAGACTTAAAAAAAAAATATAAAATGTGTGTAAACATACCTAATCACAAACAGACTAACATCTTTTAGTGACACAGAAGTGAAATTTAAATGTAAAAGCTGCCCGACATGTATGTACTATAAGGAAAAAGACAATAAAATATGAACGCACAGTACAACCACAATGTTAATTGACACTAATTTAAACAAGATTACATTTACTAAACATTTCTTTAAATCGTGCAATCTATGCATAATTTTTACAATGCACGTAAATATGCTTTACATGCTGGTCTAATTCATGACTTTACCCGAAGGACTCTGGTACTAGGGTAACATAATAAATGTGGGGATCATTGAGCTTTTTCAAGCAAATGTTGATACAGTATATACAGTACATTAGTGAGACTGGATGGATAGATATTATATATACATACATACACATACATACCATACATATATACCATACATACATACATACATACTGTACATACAAAGAGCAGTCTTATATGGGCCAATGGGCTTCCTGCAATTCCTTTACTTTTGTGTTTGATGTGACAATGATCCAACAACAAAAAGAGTTACCAGGCCAATTACTGTATCTGAATATTATACTGATTAAATGGACCAAAAGATGCAAGATATTCCAGAAAGAAGCAGTAATCATACCTTTGCTAAACCTGCTTTGTTGGCTCCTTGAGACTCTATATATGATATATACGAGGTGAAGTCCTTGAACTCGTCCCAAGTTGGCCGAAACACCATAATCTTGGGCTGGTCCCCCATTGTGGATTTCATCTGTCAAAATAAAAACATTGGTTAACATTATTTCAAAGTAAAATCGGCAGTTCAATAGTCAAACATCATAGTTTGTATGAAATTAGACCCAAAAAGTCAAAACTCTTCATATATATAACATTATGCTAACATGAAATACTATCCAAGCTTATTTATCTAGACTATATAGGAAGGACCCCCTCACTGGATAAGCCAGACATCCAGATAGCATATTTCTTACAGGGGAAGTCCAAAAGTTACAATTTTTGCAATTTTTTTGTGCCACAAGTAACAATTTAATGTTAAATTGTTACAATTTAACAATTTAATTGTGCCAGTTACTGCCACAAGTAACAATTTAAAGTTCCACACACACACACTGCAAATGAAAAATATAATTTAAAGCAGAAATTTCAGCATGACTCTTAGTAGTCCGCCTTTTTTGTTTGATACTGTAGATCTTGAAATATGTAGTTCTTGAAAATTTACACAACCTAATCTCCAGTTACCTAAATTTCTGTCCGGATATTAAAAAGTTTTGTCAGAAAATTTGAGAGAAAAATGTTTGAGAAATATATGTTGTAGACATAGAGGAAAAATAAATTAGTTAGAAAGATGGGGTCCAAGAGCAAATACTGTACAGTGTAGCTCGATTCTGTAGATACAAATAAACACAAACACTGCCCTCCCCCTCCCCCAGCAACAGAGTGGACAACGCTCAAAGTCGTAGTCCTAAGGACCCGGGTTCAATACCCAGCCAAGGCAGAAACAAATAGGCAGTTTCTTTCACCCTGATGATCCTGTCCACCTGGCAGTTAACAGATTCCTGGGAGTTAAGACAGCTGCTATGAGCTGCTCCATGAGGATATACACATGCACGTACACACACACACTCTTTCGGGACCAAAGAGCCAAAGCTCAACCCCCGCAACCACAACTAGACGAGTACACACACGGGGGGTCTAGTAGTTAAGTGGGGGCCTGGCAGCTGAGTGGACAGCACTCGGGATTCGTAATCGTGTGGTCCGGGGTCTGATCCCCAGCCTAGGCAGAAACAAATGGGTAGTTTATTTCAGCATGATGCCTGTTACCTAACAGTAAATAGGTAACCGGGAGTTAGACAGCTGTTACGGACTGCTTCCTGGGGGGGAGGGGGGGAAGAAAAAGTTAGTTAGTAGTTAGTTACAGTTGATTGACAGTTTGGAGGCGGGCTAAAAGAGCAGAGCTCAACCCCTGCAAGCACAACTAGGTGAATACACACGTACATGTACATACGCACGTGTACATACGCGCACACATGTACACGCGCAGTACACATGTACATGCTAGACTGGCCAACATAAGAACTGCCTTCAGAAACTTGTGTAAGGAATCTTTCAGAACCCTGTATACCACTTATGTAAGACCAATCCTGGAGTATGCAGCTCCAGCCTGGAGTCCATACCTAGTTAAACACAAGACAAAGTTAGAGAAGATTCAGCGGTATGCCACCAGGCTCGTCCCGGAACTGAGAGGATTGAGCTACGAGGAAAGGCTAAAGGAGCTGAACCTCACATCCCTGGAAAACAGAAGAGTAAGGAGAGACATGATAACCACCTACAAAATTCCCAGGGGAATTGACAGGGTGGACAAAGACAAACTCTTCAGCACGGGTGGGACACGAACAAGGGAACACAGGTGGAAACTTAGTACCCAGATGAGCCACAGAGACGTTAGAAAGAATTTTTTCAGTGTCAGAGTAGTTAATAAATGGAATGCACTAGGAAGTGATGTGGTGGAGGCTGACTCCATACACAGTTTCAAATGTAGGTATGATAGAGCCCAGTAGGCTCAGGAATCTGTACACCAGTTGATTGACAGTTGAGAGGCGGGACCAAAGAGCCAAAGCTCAACCCCCGCAAGCACAATTAGGTGAGTACAATTAGGTGAGGTGAGTGCAGACACACGCATAAGTACACGCGCACATGAGCCAACAGCGCCAAGAAATGACCAATAAGAAGCAGAAATTAGGCAAGCAATTAGGAAAGAACTGGTTACCAACAGTAAACTAGTACAATACACTGCAGATAGAAGTACATAATAATTTTTGGACATTTAGAGAAGGAAATTTCATTTAGGGTGGACAGTGCAGTAGAAGAGATGAAAATCATAGAGAAAATAGTAAATTTAGGAGAAGGCTCAAAGGAAAATGCCAGCGATTTTAGAAGAATAGGAAAATATGAGAAACACAAGAACTGCCACTTAAGGGTGATGTTTAATGGAGTCAAAAACATGATGGAAGTGCTTAGAAATGCCAGGAAATTGCAGAGTGATGAGGTTGGCAAACTTTGGTCAATAAGACAAGACCTCTCAAAGGAAGAGAGAAAAGCTGAAAATGAACCTAATTGAAGCAAAATGTCTAAATGGGGATAGAAATGAAGACAGAAATTCTTTTTTCTGAAAAGTGTCAGGGACTGGAAAGCTTGTGAAATGGTACATAAAAACAAAGAACAAAATCAGTAGTGGAAGGGGGAGTAAAGAGCAAAGGGAAAGGGAACATTTTCCTTAAAATTGTATATACCAACATTGATGGAGTAAGGTAAAAAACTTTGGAGTTGCAAGATATAATTCAGCTTAGGGTCCCAGATATTGTCGCATTATCAGAGACGAAACTTGAAGGAAATATATTAAATGAAGTCATATTCGCAAGGGGCTATTAATTAAGTTTGGAGACGTGACAGGGAAAACTAGGAAGGAAGGAGTGGCTGTGCTGGTGAAAGAACACCTGAAGGTAAGAGAGTTAATATTTGAAAACCCTCGAGATATTGACATAATGGCATTGCAGGTCTGGAATCAGGATAAGCTGATAATTTTAAATGCCTACAGCCCCCCAGCAAGCAACACATGGACAAAGGAAGAACTGGATGACAAAAGAGAGGGCCTCATAATGGTCATGAGAGAGATTATTGTACAAGCAGATAAAGACAAATCACTACTGTTGATACTGGGGGACTTCAACTTTAAAGCAATAGACTGGGAGGCCTATGAAGCAAGAACGGAGGATTTTTGGACATGCTTATTTGTGAACCTCATTCTGGAGACATTCTTGTATCAACACATAAAGCAGGCCACAAGAATGAGGGAAGGAGATGTACCATCAGTACTGGATCTAGTATTCACCAGGAAAGAAAAAAAAAAAGAGATATTTGACATCCAGTACAGTACTTTCCTCCCTTGGGAAAGAGTAACCACGTCCTGTTAGACATTAAATATGCTTTATTGATATCATCTATAAGAAAATGGGGACATTGAAACAGATGATAAACTCGATTTATGGAGAGGTCACTATGGGGAACTTCAAAATTTTTTAAACGAGTGTAATTGGACAGACTTGTTGCTAGGCAGGGAAGTAAATGAAATGTATGCCAAATTTTGCAAAATATACGATGAAGGCACACAAACATTCATACCAAAACCGAGATGCAGGGCCAGAAAACAGGACTGGTTCAACAGAAATTGCGAGAGGGCCAGAGACCAAAAGACACAAAAATGGAATCAATATAGGAAGAGGCCAAACCCCCAAACATACCAGCGATACAAAGATCCAAGAAACAACTATACAGCAGTAAGGAGAGGCAGAAAGAAATTTTGAAAAAGGGATAGCGGATAAATGTAAAACAGAACCGGGCCCATTTTACAAATTCATAAACAACAAATTGCAGGTAAAGGATAATATCCAGAGGTTGAAAATGGGAAACAGATTCACGGAAAATGAAAAGGAAATGTGTGAAACATTGAACGAAAAGTTCCAAAGTGTGTTTGTACAAAATGAAATCTTCAGAGAACCAGATACGATAAGAATTCCAGAACAACAACAGAGTGTATAGAGGTGTCTTAAGAGATGAAGTGGAAAATATGCTAAAGGAGCTCAGTAAGAACAAAGCAGTTGGCCCAGATGGAGTTTCACCATGGGTTTTGAAAGAATGTGCATCTGAGCTCAGCATTCCACTTCACCTGATCTTTTGGGCATCCCTGTGTACAGGAGTCATAGCAGAAGTGTGGAAACAGGCTAACATAGTTCCAATCTACAAAAGTGGCAGCAGGGAAGACCTGTATCATTGACTAGTGAAAGTATTGGAAAAAATAATCAAAACTAAATGGGTAGAACACCTGGAGAGAAATGATATAATATCAGACAGACAGTATGGTTTTCAATCTGGAAGATCCTGTGTATCGAATTTACTCGGTTTCTATGATCGAGCCACAGAGATTTTACAGGAAAGAGATTGTTGGGTTGACTGCATCTATCTGGACCTAAAAAAGGCTTTCGACAGAGTTCCACATATGAGATTGTTCTGGAAACTGGAAAATATTGGAGGGGTGACATGTAAGCTTCTAACATGGATGAAAAATTTTCTGACCGATAGAAAAATGAGGGCAGTAATCAGAGGCAATGTATCGGACTGTAGAAATGTCACAAGTAGAGTACCACAGGGTTCAGTTCTTGCACCAGTGATGTTTATTGTCTACATAAATGATTTACCAGTTGGTATACAGAATTATATGAACATGTTTGCTGATGATGCTAAGATAATAGGAAGGATAAGAAACTTAGATTGCCATGCCCTTCAAGATGACCTGGACAAAATAAGTATATGGAGCACCACTTGGCAAATGGAATTTAATGTTAATAAATGCCATGTTATGAAATATGGAATAGGAGAACAAAGACCCCATGCAACCTATATATTATGTGAGAAATCTTTAAAGAATTCTGATAAAGAGAGAGATCTAGGGGTGGTTCTAGATAGAAAACTATCACCCAAGGACCACAAAGAATGTTGTGCGAGGAGCCTATGCCACACTTTCTAACTTCAGAATTGCTTTTAAGGAGCCATGGTACCCGAAAATCCGATGAAAAATGGAATATTTACGAAAAATTACGAAAAATACTACAACGTTCTGGCAATACTGTGGTCCAAACCGTTTAACGATATCTTGAAAAATAACGTAATTAGTCAAATTTCCCGCTGCAACTTTCG